TATGTATGTATACATACATATAAAATGTAACAAAGCCCAAAACATCTTTATGGAATTAGACAAAAAATATGAAAGTATAAGATCTAAAAAATATCTTATCTGTGTGTGTGTGTGTGTGTGTGTGTTGCTCTGCACTATGCTGTTCTCCCTGCAGGGAGCGTTTGATTCATCCTGTGGGACGCTGCAGGAGCAGCAGACCTCGTTAAGACAGACAGATTTACAGTCAGGCTGATCGCCCAGAGGAGAGAGAGAGAGAACAATGGATGAAAGTGTGTATATGTGTGTGTGTGTGTGTGTGTATGTGGTTAGATACACACGATACACAGTACACCCACTGAATTCCTGTACTCTCAAGCAGTATATTGATATAGTAAAAAAATATTTTTTGCTGTACTTTCAGATTAATCTAATTACAGTAGTTACCAATCAACAGATCAGCTGAGAATTGAAATACCTTTTACTACTGATGAATGGTACCTTGCTTTGGAGTGGCCTGTTTGTGCAAACACTCACCTGTGATCCGTCCATTAGCCTCCATTGGTGGTTGCCAGCTGATTAAAATGGCGCGGGGTCGTCCCTCACGACTGATCACTGTCAAATCTTTGGGGGCAGAGCTAGGAGCTGTCAAAGGAAGAAGAGGGAAAAAGTGAATTGAGAACTCATAGAATGCAACAGTGGTGTGATTAGTTTCAGTTTCTGCACATAGCACATTGAAGTAGTTAAACCAGCAGATTATTTGCAGAAATTTAGCAAAAATGAGTTGATGAAACATTTTATTAGTTGCAGATCACCAATTCTTTCTTAATTTTTAACATCACTATCCCTTCTCCGCTAGAGCACCAGGATGTCTTAATTATTTAACTCATTTTATTTAATGTACTTAATTTGCTCAATTCATAGACAAACAGACAAAAATACATTATTATTTTGTACTTAATTTGGTCAATTCATACACAAACAGACGAAATTACATTATAATTTTACAGGCCCCACTTCACGGCTGAGAGCAGTGATAGTAACCACACCTGCAGTTTTTTTATACATAATATATATATAAGTATAACTGTAATTATAGCTAATAGTAAATATGTCAGATAATTTTGCCACTACTCTAAGTTCATCGTTTTTAGTAATTATGTCTAAAGTTCATTGGCTAATAGTTTTGTAGGCTAATAACAAACCTTGATAGAAATGTCACAGTTTGAAAAATATTTACTACACAGACTTTTTAGTTTTGCTTAGTTGGTGGAGCTGGTAGAGTGATGAACTCTCAGATTCAATCTCCTGTCATTGGAGTCAGTAATGTCTAC